ATGGGCATCAGAGGGATACCGGCCCACCAACTGCCGACACTGACTTGGTGCAGAGTCACTTGGATGGACTGGATGCGTTCAAGTCAGCAGGCCTGGATTAGCTGCATCCGAGGGTACTGAAGGAATTGGCCGGTGTCATAGCAGAACCACTGGCATGGCTGTTTGAGTGCTTGTGGGGCTTGGGTCAGGTCCCAGAGGACTGGAAAAGGGCCAGTGTAGTCCCTATTTTCAAGAAGGGGAGGAAGGAGGATCCGAGTAACTATAGGCCAGTCAGTCTCACCTCCATCCTTGGAAAAGCCTTTTAAAAGATTATGAAGGATCTTATTTGTGGAAGTCCAGTGGGAAAAATAATACAGCAGGGAAGCCAACATGGATTCATAACAAGTAGATCATGCCTGACCAATCTGGTTTCATTTTATGACAGGGTCACAAAATACTTACATGCACTAGAGGTGGATGTCATTTTCTTGGACTTTAGCAAGGCCTTCAATACGGTAGCTCATCCTATTCTCATAAATAAATTAAAAGGCTGTGACATAGATGTTTACACGGACCAGTGGGTGGCAAATTGGCTTAGCAGTCATGCATAGAGAATGGTAGTACATGGGTCGGTATCGACCTGGAAGGATGTAGGTAGTGGGGTCCCATAGGGTTCGGTCCTTGGACCTGTACTCTTCAATATCTTCAGCAGTGACTTGGATGTGGGTGTGAAGTGTACTCTGCCCAAGTTTGCAGATGATACTAAATTGTGGAGTGAAGTGCACACTCTGGGGGGTAGGGAACGATTGCAGGCAGAGCTGGACAGGTTAGAAAAGTGAGCAGTACACAATAAGATGCAGTACAACAAGGACAAGTGCAGAGTGCTGCACCTAGGGCACAAAAATATCCAGCACACCTACTGGCTGGGAAGTGACCCTCTCAGCAGCACAGAAGCAGAAAGGCATCTCGGAGTCATAGTAGACTCCAAGATGAACATGAGTCATCGGTGTGATGAAATCATCAGCAAAGCTAACTGCAATTTATCATGCATCAGCAGATGCATGACAAATAGAACCAAGGAGGTGATACTTCCCCTCTATGTGGCATTGATCAGACCACAGTTGGAGTACTGCACCTAGTTTTGGGTGCCATACTTCAGGAAGGATGTTGATAGACTCAAGAGGGTCCAGAGGAGGGCCACTCATATGGTTAGGGGCTTACAGGACAAGCTCTACGAGGAGAGTCTGAGGGCCCTGGACCTCTTCAGCTTACACAAAAGAAGGCTAAGAGGTTATCTTGTAAACACCTACAAATTCCATAGTGGGATGTAGCAAGGGATCGGAGATGTTCTGTTCACCAGGGCACCTCTTGGGGAAACAAGGGAAATGGTCACAAACTGACAGAGAGCAGATTTAGGCTAGATAGCAGGAAACATTTCTTTACGGTGAGGGTGGCCAAAATTTGGAATGGGCTCCCAAGGGAGGTGGTGCTCTCCCCTACCTTGGGGTCTTTAAGAGAAGGCTGGATAGGCATCTGGGGGTTGGACTCAATGATCATTTGAGGTCCCTTCCAACCCTAGCATCTATGAACCTGTGAATATGAATCTATGCAAAGTGATTCTAGATTCTAATTAACAAACAGAGGGATGCTTACTCTGTATTGTTTGTTGTGCAGGAAACAAAACAGGGTTCAAAACAGAAACTATGTACAAGTAGTAAACATTAGAGATGTATTTCCCTGCAGTGGGAATAGGGGACAGTGGGGTTGTAATGATCATCTGTTCTCACAAAATAAAATAAAACAAAATAAACCACTAATAGGCTGATATTTACCAGTAATTCCTAGATGCCCAATGACACTATCATGCTCACAGGCATATAGAAATGGTAGTTATGCTGGACATAATTCATCCAGTTTAACCTATAACCACACATTTTTACTATGTGATTTCTCTTTGCCAAGAAAATTGTGTATGCTGTGTGTAGGGTTCAGTAATCAAGGCCTCTAAAACGTTTTGGCACGTGTAATGATGGGTATGTATATTTCTATCTCACAGTATGTTCTTAATGTGGGTTGATCAGGCACATGAAGTAACAGGGGTGGATCTGGTATTTGGCAAAGGGAGGTACAGAGACAGGTGTGGCTGCAGCCCTGCTCCCAGACTCCTTCCCCCAATCCACCAGTGCAGGCAGGCAGCTGCAGGAGCCTCTGGGGACTTCTTAAAATTCCCAAAGAAGGTAAGCACCCCCCTTTTCCTCAGTGCTCAGAGGCACATTCTCTCCCACCCCTTCTGTCCCCTGCTTTCTCTGCTGTCCCTGGAGTTGGGGAAGCTTCCTAACTCCTGCCTGATGGAGCCAGGCTGCATAGGGGCTGGGCTTAGCGGGGAGCAGCAGGAGGTACAAGGGGTTACTGCCCTAGGTGAGCCCAGCCCCTGCGCGGCCCAGCTGGAGTGGGCAGGAGCAGGTCTGAAGATTCCCCTGCCCTGGGACAGCAGGGAAATGAGCTGCGGCAGGTGGGGGACAGAGAAAGAGGAGGGGAGGGCACATGTTTCTGAGCATGGAGGGGGAAGGGGAGATTCTCTTCCACTTTAGAGACTTTCTTAAAGTATCCAAAGGCTCCAGCAGCACAGTCCAGTCTGAAAGGGGGAGGCAGCCACACCACTGCACCTCTCGGGGTCCACCCCTTTTAAGTATGCATATGAGATTAGTTATTTTTAAAACTTTCTGCTTTGCATCATACTGTTTTTTGGTGTTTCTGATATGACTTCAGTTTTTCCAGCATAAGGCTATTGACTTTGTTTAGATTAATTACTAATAACAGAGTAATACTGCTAAGCATCAGCGAAGGTTACAAAATTAGGACCTAACTGAGAGAATGAAACGAACAGGCTATGTTATATTGCTGTGTTTAGCTGCAGATTACAACGTTTTTGGAAAGCGGAACTTGTTTTTCACTTTTCTGTTGATCACATCAGAGAGCTCAACACATTAATCAACAGATAGACTTTCCTGGCACATAACGTACAGGATCTGGCTGATAGCATAACAGTATTGAGTGGGTGCATTTGGTACGTCTTTGAACCGTCATGTAGTTGTTTAATGCTGTCCTATTGTATTTGAAATTTCCCATTTAAAGAACTGTGGGGGTGGCTAAGTGAGACACAAAGAATCAAAGTTGTAATTAAAAGGGTACCATCAACTCAGCAATCAATCAAACTTTGGCCTGAAATGTAACCGTTATGATTGCAGATACTAAAATGCTTACGTTTTTACCTTTACTCTCTGTTTAGGTTCTTTGTATACTTTAAAGCGTCCACGTAGTATCAATTGATTATGGAGCTAGGGTAGTTTATGCCACTAAGAATTGGATTCTTTTTATGTAGCTAGGTCCATTTTCTTTGGGCTATGGATGGCTTAGTTGTTTGATGCGTCTTCATGTGATAGTGGGAAAGGATAAAAAAAATTAATAAATAAAAGAATTAGGGTTGGGTATTTGACCAGTCAAATAAAGTTTGGTCAATTGACCAGTCAAATATTGGTCAAAATTTGTAACCAGAAAAAAAAAAAATGCCTATAGGTCCAAATAATACACAGAAACTGCACACATTTTCCATTAGGAAATGTGTCAAAACAACAAAAATAATATTTCTGGTAAGAAAATAGAATAAAAATGTTGGGGTTTTTTTGGTAAGCTTGCTGTCGTCTTTGACTGGTCAAGAATTACGCAGTCAATTGACCAGCTTGCTAACCCTAAGAAGAATAAAAGAAAATGAGCTTTCTCTCCCTTTTAAAGGGTAGGCAGACTCAAAGTCCGACATGTCACCTGAAACTACCTCACGCTCATTTGGGGCCAGATTTACTTGCCCTTTAGCACAACTTGTGGAGCCGTACAAGTGCTAAGCGGACTACTAGTGTCTGGCTTTTCATTTGTATTGACTAGGTTGTTAAACTGAACTGCCTGACTAGATTTCACAATGTATGGTGCAGGTATTTATTTTCTTTTTAATGTTAAAGTATGAGTAAAACACTTATTGCTCATGAAATGGGTTGTTTCTTTACAAGAAGGGCATTAAGGAGACATGATATATTATATAGACTGCAATCCAAACATAAACTTTGTTGTGCAGTACTTTAACCTTTTCACATTCTTAAGAAAAGCTAAGTAGCTTATTTTCTCTAATAGACATTGAAAGCCTTTTTTGCCTACTATTTATTAGGTGCTTAATTACCTAATGCATTTGAAAGCTACATTAGTTCGTGGTACTAATACTCTGTCTTGGGTTTATTTTCTAGCTTTCAGCTTTCATTTATTGCAGTTCTGTAGCTAAGAATTTGCCATTAAGTACTCATGTGGAAGGAGTCTAAACATGTTATTGGCTAGAAATTTTTTTATCAATTACCCAGAAAATTTGTAGTGTGCATTTTATTCTTTCTGTTTTATTTCTATATTAACCCCGTGTTTGTGAGGCACTGCAGCACAGCTTTTTAAACTGCCAGTCTTTTCACTGAATGCTAGCCCTTCAAATTAGATGTTCAGGTATCTGATTCAGCATTGTTCTGTTCAGGTGCATTGTACTAACCAGATTTTTTTAAAATGGTTCCCGCTCCCCAGGGTGATTAGAGATCTCACAGCATACTTTGTAAGAGTTGCTACCGGTATACTCAACTGCCTAGCCATGGCCAACCTAATAATTATATCTCCCTACCAACCTTCTGACCCTTGAATTTTCATTCAAATATAACATTGACTCCTTGCCCTGAAATAATCATCCATTGTGGCAGTGCACTTTTAATGGTGTGTTACATTCCACCCCAGAGGTACCAGCAGTTCAGATTTGTGCAAAGATAGTGCAAATAGACATGCTGGGTTGTGCCACTTATGAACCTGGCCTATGTTTTTAAAAATGCTTTGGGGTCCTCCTGGCAGAACGTTGTTTCAAACGTGCCAGATGCTATCATGAGTCATTACAAGCTGGTTGCAAATCTTTTAATAATGAGAACTATGACTTCTTTTCTTTTCAGAGCCAGAGCTTCAACTGTCTGGGAAAGGCAAAATGCCCAGCATCCAATGTGAGTTCTGTGCAGATGCAGGGTGATTCTGATTATTTTATCAACCATCTTGGGATCCCTACTGTGCAGTTTTCATATGAGGACATCAAGACATTGGAGGTAACCCTGAAAAGGAATTATGTGCCATGATAGAACAGATTCTGGCTTTCCTCAGACAGATTGTAGCAAAAAAACTACCTCATTTTAGTGAATTGTTTCAGATGGGGTTTTTTTTTTTTTTTTAGGTGTTTGGTGACTTTCTGTATATATTTGGAGACATTCTTTGCTGTGGTCTAGCATTGCATTTAAAAAGATGTATTACCTCTTGTATTGTCGTAGAACAGATCACAGCAAGAAAGGGGCAGGAGTAGGAATAACATCAAAATATAATGGTAACTCGTCAGCATTCAATGCAACACACAACCCATCATGCGGCTTCTCTTTATCTTGCTTTGAGGAACAACATGAGAAATATCTAATCTATGAGATTACACAGTACAGATTAATCAAACCAATTTTACAGATGGCCTTTCACCCACGAAAACAAATGATTATCTATGTCAATTTTTATTGCTGTGCCTGGAAAAAAAAGATAAAACCTGAAAATGCATATTAAATCATTTCCAGACTATGGGCAGAATTGTGCTCTCCACTCTGCACGGTGGATGTAAATTCCTGTGTGCTGGGTCTCATTCTCCAGTTCACTAAAGTTCCCTTGCATAGCATGAAGACTGGCCTCTCTCCGTGTCCCTGGTAAGCACAGAGAGGAAGCATGTTGCGAGTGTCCTCATTAGAAGGAAACAGAGAGAAGCTATGGCAAAGGGGGCTCTGTTATGTCCAGTGATGTCTTCGACTTGCTCCAGCAACATGTCTAACTTGATCTGTGGCTGATGAACATTTATTAAACTGCAGTTAGCTCCCCACAGCACACCTTTTCCACTGCACTTGAGTGGAGGGCAGAATGTGCTCCTTTATTCTCAGTCATAGGTTTCCATTTGCCCTATGCATACTCCTGGGCATTTTTCCATATGCTTCAGGGGTTGGGGAGGGGAAGGGGGAGGGCGGCACTTTAATTAGAGCAGCTCTGAGAGCCACTCTAATTCAGGCGCTGCTACGTCTCATGTTTGAGCATCCTTGCACTTGCAAATGGCAGTGGGGGTGCTTGAAATAAAGCTCATTCACAGAGCTTTAGATAAAGCGCCCCCACAGCCACTTTTAAACGTGGAGATGCTGATACACAAGGCACAGGAGGCAATTGCCATGCTCCAGAAGACTCGATTAATTAAGTCTGCTGTGCTGCACTGGAAATCCAGTGCATTGGAGCAGCCACTGCACTCGTGTATAGGCACCTGCTGTTCCACAGCACATAGGGGAAGTGGTTTTGGACACCCCAGTACAATATTCTCTTCTCCCTTAGATGAAGAGAACCACTGTCGTCCTTCCAGACATCTCCTCTCATGTGCACTTAAGCTGTCAATCTTCATTTCTTCTGAGGGTTGGTAAAATGGAAGAACACTTTAGCACTACAATGTTTTGGGGGCAGGGGGTTGTCAACAAAATTGGGAACTGAGGAGGTTAATAGAAGAATTAATTACAATCAGTTAGTGCAGGGTTGTTCAAACTTTTTGGGTCAGTGTACTTCCAGGGGCTGGAAGGAAGGAGTCCCTTGGCAGCACAGCAGAGGTCGGGGGGGTGGGCAGAGGTCCCCCAGTGGCAGAAGTACTGGCGGCACAGCGGTGGTGGAAATGGCAGCAGCACCCACTGCCAAGTACTCCCTGAAACCTTTCCAAGTACCTTCGGTTGAAAACCCCTGAGTTAGTGCGATCAAAACTCTTACTATCATTCTCTTTCAAACAATAAGCCTTCTACATTATTATTATTATTACTATTATTATTATATGCAAAATTATTTAGCTTAAAAATAATTCAGGGCAGTGTCTACTTTGGGTAACATACTGTAGTTGGCAAATGTTCTTGTCTGGGTAAATGCTTCAAGGGACATTTGGATCTTTTTTTTTGTCTTTTGTATGACATAGGGATATAGCCAAACAAGCATTTGGTTTACTGAGCATCTATCACAGTAGCAACAGGGGATATGTCCCTACAGTCAGAAATGATTGACCTTAATTTTTATTTTTGGAGTCATCTTCAAAATGGGAATAATATGAACAGCTGCAATTATAAACACTATGCAGAATACAGTACCAAGTAAGCAGCAAATGCTAAGCATTTTTCATTTTTATATTGTCACCCCATTTCATAATGGAAAGAGAATAATGGCCAGAACTTGAAATAATACTTTGTGGTTAATCAGAATAGAATTTTGTTATTTCTTACACTACGTAAATTCTTTTGGACTAGAGTCTTACTGCTCTTCAAACTGCCTCGTTCACTGTTGCATTACTACCTGATTCCTTATCTTTCATACTGGAGAAAGTTCACTTGTTTGCCTGCACAAGGGTTTCTGCACCCTTTAAAAATCCTCAAAACAGTGGTGGGGGGTTCACAGAGGTGCACGTGCACCCCCTGACAGGCCACGCTCCCTGCTTAGGCAATGGGCAGGGGGGGCAGGTGGGAGTGCTGGTACCCTCCCCACAAGCACCGGCCGAGGAGTGGGAGCACCAGATGAAGCGCTGCAGCCGCTTCCTGGTCAGTGCAATCGGCCACAGGGGACCCCCTCTCCCTCAATCAATGAGATTGGCTGTGGGGGAACCCCCCCCAGTTGCTTGCTGGTCACTGGAGGGGCATGTGCCCCTCCTGACTAAGGTGACACCACTCGCCCATGCCTCAAAAAAGGGAGTTTTACCCATGTTGTGAAATCTGTATAGTAAGCTTTAGAAAGATGAACTTCTCTACTTTTGGTTCAGTACAGAGGATCTGGATTCCAGTGTCCTGGGGGAGGGGACAGCAAGACTATCAGGCTACCAGGAATCTCCTCAAAGCAGGGAATGATTATTATCTTTACAAGAAGATTGAGAGTCATGTTTAATTCTAACAAAAATTTGGAAATGAGGCAGATGTGGGGTGACATCGCTGTCTTAAGTATCTTCTATTTCTTGAAAATGGATTGGTTTAATTTTTTAAGCAGATGTTTTAATCGTCATTCCATGATTTTGTCTCTGTTTTATTATGATAGCTCTGGATAGGGTTGATATATGTGTTGATATCATCTCTTTTGAATCTTGTTTTGTTCTTGGCCTCCATGGGCACATCTACACATGCAGGCATGTGCACTTGCAGTGGCTCAAATAGCAATGGCACAGATTTATGGCAGAGATTTGTGCTTCAGCACACGTGCCTGAACATGCACTTTGGTGTGGTGCAAATTGTGCCACGTGGGGCAAACTGATCCTGCCCTGCTCCTCCAGGATCTTCAGCCAGGGGGAGCTAGAGATTGGGGCCAGCACCTGTGCTGGCCCCAGCAGTATAAAAAGCTGCCCTGGTGAGCCACTTGCCTCAGGAGCTTCTGACGCCCAGCCAGTTGGTATCTAGGGACACTACCCCTTGTGCCAGCTGGACTGTTGAAGCAGCCCTAACTTAGAGTGGCCTCTGCACCCTCTACTCACTGCAGCATTTTGTCAGTGGGGGCTGCTGCCTGGCTCTGATCTGCTGCCACCTGCAACAGCATTTGCTCTCTTGGACCTGCAGCCCCATGGCTGACCCTGCTGCTGTAGTATGGGCACTGCAGCAGAGTCTCCTGCACCTCTGGGCCAGATGCCAGTGGGTGTAGCTGCATAGTTGGCCTTTGGGTAGCACTGCTATCATGTCTTCTGGTGCCCCCAGTCTGCCGTCTCGACAGCTGTCTGGCTCCTCTGCCTGTGTCTCACTGCTTGCCTCACCAGCAGAGATCCTGGTGTTTCCTCTTTAAAAATTAAAAATTCTCTGATAAGAAACCCAAATTCTCTCATTAAAATACCCAAAACCCATGTTCTTCTGCTATTAAAATGAAATGCCGCTATATATAGAGAAATCAATTGGGCAATGTTTTATTGATATATTCACAATTTTAAAGCAATTTAGAATCCTACCAGTGCCTCTACTATCATAATACAATGAATTCTAAATACCTATATACTTGTGTGTTTGCTTTTAGTTTTTTTTATCATAGAAAAATCAGAGGTGCCTCTGCCCCTTTACTCACCAGGATGTGGGGCACTAAGCAGCACTGATATGCTGGTGCCCTGCCCCTGGCTTTACCCCTCACTCTAAACTCACAGCCCTCACAAGTGCCTCTCACTCCTGACCTGCAGCCCCTACCTGCCTCCTGGCTGCAGCTCTGTCCCAGCACCAGGACGTGAGTCCAGCTGCAGCTGTTCCACCTGCTGCTTTGTGGCTCTGAGCAGTGCCAGGCCTTGCTGTTCTGCTCCCTGTGCCTGTGCCCAGGCCCCAGCTATCCCCATACCACAGCTGGGGCTCAGGGACTGGGCTGGGCAAGCCCCTTCCCTTCCAGGCCGGCCTCCACCTGAACAGGCTGCTCTAGCAGGGCAGGAGGTCTCTAACCCTGGTTCTGGCAGCCTCTCCTACCCGGAGTGCTGCTCCACCTCTGACCCCCATTTCTTTCTCTCACACACCCCTGCTGCCACTTCCCCCACCCTCCCTCAGTCCATCACACCCCCCAAGTAGTTCCTGGAGCCCCTCAGGCAGGGGCTGCATGTCCCAGCACTGGTGTGGGCATGGGGCAGGGCTGCAGTGCAGCAGTTGCCCTTGCAGCCACCATTTCTGCCAACAGGTCTTGTCCCATCCCATTTGGTGTCTGGGCTTGCAGGGTGTGAGATGTGTGTGGGGATGTGGGGCTTTGGGGGAAGAGGGGTGGGGTTTGTGGGGTGGTTTGGGAGGGTTGGTGGGTGGGGTTTGTGTAGGGTTCGTAGGTTGTGTTGGGTTTGTGGGTGGATTGTGGGGTGCTGTGGGGGTGGGGGGGTTGTGTGTGGGTGGGAGGGACTGCTCAGGGCAGGTGAGTGCCCTTGCACAGTGCACAGCCCACCCTCTGGCAGCAGCAGCCATTGGGGCTCCTGGCAAAGCCCTGACCCACGCCACCTGTACAACATGGTGCCGTGCCAGCCTGGCCCACTCACATGAGCCCTCAGCCAGAAGTGGACCACTTCTGCTGTCACTCAAGGTCC